CCTGCCATGCGGGCAGGGGACTGGACTCGATGACCTCTCGAGGTCCCTTCCAGTCCTATAATCTATGATTCTATGATTCTATGATTTGTGGGTGCAAAAGATAGCCAAATTCTATAAAATATGCCAGCAGTTATTTTTGGGCACATAACCTCTTAGATATTTAGAGGAGCTAATTGAAAAAGATGTAGCAGAAAAGCCCTGGGCATCACTAAATAAGACCATATGTAGGCAAAGGCATCAGAATGCACCAGAAGGCATCAGAATACAGTGATGGATACTATAGAAAAAGTATCTATAAGATAAATACAGGACTAGCCAAGTGCAAAGAGAACAAAAATTTATCTGTGAGAAAATAAAAGTGCAACACATTTCCTCTAGCTTAATGATAATGCCAACAACTAAGCCATCCTTCATTAAGTAATATTACGGAAAGTTCTTAAGGAAGGCTTTAGTAATAGGCCAGAGGTGTTGGCGCGAAGGTTAATTCTTTACTGATAGAGCTCTAGATGTAGGTTCTATCTATGTCAGTTATTTTCAACCTTTTTTCATTTGCAGACCCCTAAAAAATCTCAAATGGAGGAGCGGCCCCCTTTGGAAATTCAACCTGTGGTCCGTGGATCCCTATCTTAGAAGTCTTAGACTGAAAACTGACTGAATGGAATTCAACTATTGATGTTGCACCTGCTTGGCACGGCATTTGACACAACGTGAGAAAGGGCGCTAAACTGTGGGTTTCTATGGTAATGATAACATTTCAGGGTTTTGACCTGTAGGTGGGAGTATTCACATACTTTTGATGGATAAGAAAAACAGAATGCCTTTTTGGGGGCCTGAAACTTTATTTTCATAGTCACCTTTCGTGGATCCCTTAGACATAGTCTGCAGACCACCAGGGATCCGGGGACCACAGGTTGAAAACCACAGGTCCATGTTAACCAACTTCAGAGCAGTAATTCTCCACTGATGCGGTGCTACTGGTGGAAGCTTTAAGTGTAGGTAGGACTTGGGTGTTTCTATAACACTTATCGACCAGATTCCAATTTCAGCTATTGGTATGAAGCCAGCAGTTACATCAGTGTGAATCCAGAGCTATTGAGACAAGAATCTGACCTTAATTTCACAGCCAGACAGCCCTAAATTTAAAAGTAGTTTTATACATTTATTTATTTATTTATTTATTTATTAAAAGAAAATTTAAGATTCTGTACTACAATGGCAAAATCTGGCAGAAGAAATGAAACCTAAAGATTTCTACTGTCTATGATTCTATTAAACACCCCCATAGGAGAGACACCAGATACACTCATACTGTTTCAGTCATAACCTCTTGCTAAAGGCCAATATTGCATCAGATTCCACATTTCTGTTATGTTAACCTCAAGTCTGAACCCGATCAGCTGTAGGTGAGACTTTCTGAAGCCAAACATCTTTTAGTGTAGTTACACTCACCACCACAGTGGAATGCAAAGCAGCCCCGGTAAAGTAAGAGCCAGAAGCAGCATCCGCCAGTCTCTGATGAAGTAAGCAAACAGTGGCAGCAACATGTAGCCAATTGCATAAAATATGCAAACGCCTAATGTGCAGAATATAATACGAACTGTTTTGCCAAGAATTTCTGTGCCTGTTCAAAACAAGAGAGTGTGGATTAGCATTTTAACTGATCAGAAATAATAGCAGCCAAATATTTTACCACTATACAAGAACTGACCCTACTTTTAGCAAAACTCTTCCTCACACATGCTACAATTGTTAGCGCTATATTAGTTGTGGTTTTTTCCTGTTTTAAAAAGATGCTGCCAGATCTATCTTAGGGCCTGATTCTGCACCAAAAGGGAGTACTTTTATGAATAAAAACTATATGATTAGAACCTAAAATTGTTCTAACTCAACGAGTAAAAGCCTTCTGGATTCCAAAAAACTCACAACAAAAGGCACTAGTCTGGTAAAACCTACACCAACAAACCATGTTTTTTTGCCTGCTGCAGCAGTTAGCTAAACACTGTTTTCAGAGCTGTTCTGGGCTTTGTTATGGCTACAAAGAATTCAGTGCTCTAGACACTGAAGTCGCTTTTTAAAACAAAAGCATTCAGAGCTCTCTCTCAAACAGATTCATAGGTAGTCTTACTTGTCCTCCAATCAGACACCTTTGCTTAGATATCATAGAATGGATGCAATGACAGAATCCATGTGACAGCTTAACTTTCATCACAGATTGTTTTCAGAAGTTTTAAATTGCACTTACATGTTTGATCACAATTACAAATTACAGTATCATATGTACAATTGGCGTGTTTGGCTCCAAACTGCAGTGCACCAGAGCAACTGGGCACAACTCATTCTACACGTCTACCAACATATGACTATGAGCGTGCGTCTAACTGCATCCTCTCACTGGAGAGCTCTTGCTTCAGATAAAGACTTGTTCTGATTTACTCCCTTTGCTCATTTAAGTATTTGGTAAACAAAGCATTTTATTTTAATGTGTTACTATTTTACTAAAAGGAAAATTTTCAAATGGATTAGGAGTTAGCCATGCTTGGTAAGGTTATATTCTTATTAACAGTGCTGCTTGGGAAAAAATAAAAAACAAGCCATTAGTAAATGAGGAGAGCAGGGGGGACAATAACACTGAAAATGTGCTATGCATAACAAACTCCCATACCAAGTACAAAGGCTGCCACATAGTTAGAGATCTGTCCCATGCCGACGATGACAAAGAGCACTGAAAACATCTCCCAACTGGTAGAGAAGACCTGCAGGAAGCTGAAGCCGGTTTGCACCCCCATGGTCGCAAACAGAACTTTCTTCCTGCCAAACCTTTGGTGGACAAAGACAAAAACGAGAGGGTTACAGAAGAAACAATCACGAAAATAAGAGCAAGATCAGTGAATTAGTCTTGCACATAGGGGGTTTCTATAATGAAGAGAAATGTCTCAGAAAGTGGGACACGTAAACAAATATTTCAGACAAGCTTAAAAATTCCATTCCAAAAGTGGAAGAATATCTTAAGTGCTGCAATCGGGGTATGTCTACACTGCAGCTAGGAGCATGCTTCTCAGAACGGGTAGACAGGCACATGCTAGCTCTGCTCACTGCTAAAAATAACAGTGTGGTTGCGTCGTCTTGGGTGAGAACCCCGGCAACAGATGTGATTGTACTCAGGCCACTAGCCCAAGTTGCTGCCTGTGCTGCCATGGCCACACCGCCATTTTTAGCATGCTAGCTTGAGCAGATCTAACACGTCTTTCTTTCCACACTGGGAAGCATGCTACCAGCTGTGGTGTAGACGTACCTTAAGAGATTTCTCTGAGGATGTGGTGGGAGGTTCTCTCTTCAGGGATGATGGAATGGGTGTGGACAAGTGCAAACACCTAGAAAGTGAATTATCGCTAGAATGCAAAAGATGAGGTGTCAGTGACTCAAAAGGAGTGCTTTCTTCCATGCCCCAGAGTGGGACAATAAACATAAGGCAGAGAAGTGGAGTCTTCTAAGGAGGAAAACTCTGGCCCTATGCCAATCTATAGTCATTAAGGGGCCCAATTCTGCAAACCATACTCAGTTACACTGAGCAATACCTTGCTCTGTGAATAACTGTAGCGGGGTGGTCACCTGCTCCTGCCCTGAAGGGCTTGAAATCAGCCCTGGGAGAGGGCTGCGGCTAGGAAAGCAGCAAGCCTCGGCTGATTGGGGAAACAGCCACAGCTGTGGCCACGCCCCAATCAGGCCAAAGCTGGCCCGTATGAAAAGTCTGGGAGCCAGGAGCTCAGAAAGGCTCTCTCCAGTCTTGGAGGGAGCAGGGCCTAGCTGCCTGCAGAAAGGGTACTGGGAGTGAAGGAGCTCCAGGCTGGGAACTCCCCAGGCTGCAGGGCCTGGTCCTAGGTTTATAGAGGTACTGGGTGGTAAAGGAAGGCAGCTGGTCCAACCCCCCCCCCC